TATTCTAAGATTTGTTCTGAAAAGGCCAACTTTCTTTTTTCTTTGTAATATAATATTTTTTTTTCATTTTAGAGGGGAACAACTATGCATTAACTCCATTTCATTATCAACCCAGTAACTAGTTAATTAAATAACTTTTAAGGGGCCTACCACATGGCTCAGTGGATAGGTGCTATCCAAGCCTGGCAACCTAAATTCACCTCCTGGAGCCCTTGTAAAGATGCAAAGAGGACACAAAATCCATAGAGCTCTTCTCTGACCCCCACGTGTGCACTGTTGACACATGGAGCTCTTCTCTGACCTCCAGGTATGCACTATGACACAAGCTCCCCTACCCACTCCCATCTAGCACACATGCAAAATAGTAACTTTTAAATCAAAATTTAGTGAACCCATTTAAGTCACGTTTTCTTCATGCTGCTGACCCCTTTATGATGTGACAGTATGTTAAAGATACTTTTCCTCCTCTCCCTACCTGTCGGGTCCTGTGTTTCCTTCTCCATCTAGGAATTCAAGCTTTTGTGATTTTTCTGCTATTTCCCAGGACAGCACTCACCTCAGTGAAAAATTTCATGTTCCTAGTCATGCCAAGGCCGTGGGCTGTTCTTACAGTCTTGTGTTCATATTTTAGACTTTTGTGTTTTGTTCTGCACTGCTTCCAGTCTCTGTCTATTCCAGTTTTTGGAAGCCTGCTCACAATTTGTTCAAATATCTTTTTTTTTTTTTTTCTTACTGTTCCCTCTACTTGTTATATGTTTTTTTTTTGTTTGTTTTTTTTTGTTTTTTTTTTTTTTTTTCTTACTGTTCCCTCTACTTGTTATATGTTTTTTTGTTGTTGTTGTTTTGTGACCAGAGGCCTATTAGAGCCTGGACTTCTGGTATAATCCAGTGTTTTCTTCCTTCGTTTACTGTCTTTGGAATAAAAGTTGGAATTATTAGGGTATTCCATTATTGATGAAGCGATACCTGCATCTGCTGGAGAGAGAAGAACATACATGGATGGCATACATCGGACAAGATACATAAGCAGATACAGTATTTTTATATATAGGAATGGGATGGTAAGTATTAGCTGATCTTTTCTCTAAAGGTCAGAAATGAGTTGCTAGCTTCAGTAGGAGATTGGAATTAATTAAAACATTCATAGTATCACTGTGGATTTCCTTTTAGATGTACATTTTAGTTTGTGTTGTTAGACTTGTGTATAAACTTAAATCTGGTGTTTCTTACCTGATTTAGAGAGTTAAGCTTGAAACTTACAAAGCAGTATTTCTAGGAATCCTGCATTTTATTGAGCAAATCATGTGACTTAGAAATTATTTATTTTTCAGTATAGGTGAGTAAAAGAGGGAGAAATCATTAATCCTGAATGTTTATTAAGGGGGGAGAAGAGCCTGTTTTCTTTAAATTTAGGAGCCAGACTGACTTCCCAACCTGAAAGTAGATCTGTTCCATTATGTTTTGGCCTGCTGTTCCATACCTAGTTCACTCTGTCTGATGCAAGAGATTGAGATAGCGTCCTTGTGTTCTGATGGCACCGACAGTTTTCTCAGAAGGGAGCCCATTTCTCCCTGCTGAGCTAAGGAGGAGAGAACTGATAATTCCTGTAGATTTGGACACATTTTAGTAACTGTGGTATGATATAGATTAAATAGTCATGTGCATAAGGGCTGGTGCAATGGCACAGAGGGTAAGACACTTGCCACCAAGCCTGATGACCGCTTTGATACTCCAGACCCAAGAGGTTTAGGAGAAGAACCAGTGTGTCCACGTTTAAACTTTCATGATTAATGGAGGCAATGTTGCAAGTAAGGAATATTCCAGATTTAAATTTTAAATTGTGCTTTGGAGAAGCCAGAGGGCCAGGTGGTGGTGGCAGGTGCAAGGGGGTTCGCTGAGTTCGAGGCCAGCTTGGTCTACAGAGCAAGTTCCAGAACTGAATGAAGAGAACTGAAAAAAATGAGAGAGAGAGAGAGAGAGAGAGAGAGAGAGAGAGAGAGAGAAGCAAGGGGAAGATAGTGATGCCCACAGGTCCATATCTGCCTAGCTTGACTAGGGCTTAGTAAGGAAATATAGATTTTTCAATATATTATCTGGTTTTATGTTCACAGAAAAGGTTCCACTGTCAGTGGAACAAGGAAAAACTCTTGTGGTCATTTGTAGTGTGAATCATGAAGTTGTACAGAGGCCACTGCTCCAGAGATTTGAAGCTGGAACCCTTACTGTTCACTGCAATTGTATAAGGCAAGGAGAGTAAGCCGGGAGGTGGTGGGGCATTGAGTTGGAACACATGCCTTTAACCCAGCACTTGGGAGGCAGAGGTTTTCTGAGTTGGAGGCCAGCCTGGTCTAGAGAACCAGTTCTAGGACAGCTAGGGCTACACGGAAAAACGCAAGATCAGTCAATCAATCAATCAGTCAGTTAGTCAAGGAGAGAGAGAGAGGAGTGGACTCTTGGACACTGTTGGAATATGGTCCAGACTGATTTCAGTTATGGGAACACTTCTTGAGATGCCACTGACGTGAGCAGCAGTTATAGAAGTGAGTAAATCCAAAGATGTTGCACACTGCTAGCCAGTAATTAAGTGTAAAAGTATCAGCTGTGGGGTTAGGGGTGAAGAGTTCGATTCTTAGCACTGCAAAAGAAGAGAGAGAAGGAGGGAGAAGGAAGGAATTGTTTCCTATACACCACTATAAACAATGTGTCCAACCTGCAAGACTTTAACTAAGGAAGGACTAGATGTGTGAGGAAGGATGTAGCTTAGTGGTAGCACTTGCCCAGCAAGGCCAAGGCTGTTCATTCCTCAGAACTGCACAAGGAAGGTAGGTAGATGTGTGTTGGGGGGAGGAGGGGCGACAAAGAGGTAAATTGAAGTTGATAGGTTTTAGAAGTTAGTTTTTCTTTAAACAACAGGTGGCAAAGTGCTGCTGACATTGGCTAAAGGGGAAAAGATGAAATTTCATAGCAGCACTCTAGAAACATCCTATCTGAGAGGTGGCACCAGATCCCGTCATTTCCTGGTTCACCAAGTTCTATTACTGGATCTCTAGCTGTAGAGCCTGCCCCTGCCTGCAGTTGCTTGTCCACGCTAAGACACAAGACATAGTACCCAGAGAAATGGGAAGCCAGCTGACTTAAGTTGTGACCAAAGCTGGAGAGAAGTTTCAGTCTGTTGACCTTGCCTGCAGCAGTGACACAATGAAAAGGTGAAATAAACTTATGTAGATCTTTGTCCCAGGAGGTGGGTGTATTCTGGTGTCCAAGGCTCCTGCAGCCAGCCTGTTTTCCTAGGGAGATCCATTACATAATTTTAGTGTTTTTATTTTTATGCATTTAGGAAGGTGAGAATATGAGAAAAGAAATTTTTGTCTTGTTTGTGACGAGATAGAAAACCTAGCTGGACAGCATTTTTGATATACCCTTTTGCTAAGGGTATAAAATTAAGTCAGAAAGCATCTTTCAAGCCTATCCAGAGCTACATCAACCATAGTTGGTGCAGCAATTAGTGCCATTCTAATGCACTTTTGCCTTATTTGTGATGTAAGAAGTGATGGTATTAAACCTCCTTTTGAAGTTCATACCTTGTACAAAATGGTTATGTTGGACTTTTAAATCTTGGTGTTTCCGGCTATATTTATCACGTGTACTCAGAAATTGTAAATGAAGTGAAAATAACCTTCAGTGATCTCTTGGGCAGTACTTGAGCTCAGGGTTGCCAGGTCCCTGCTGTTGCCATCCTTCTCCTCTGTTAATTGTGTGGTAGATTCATAGTGCAGGATTGCATCCGAGTCATGGAAAACTTCATAGATCTAGAGCTGACTCCTGAGTTGTGGGCATGCTTAACTGTCCTGTATTCATACTTGAGAGTTTTATTTATACTTTTTCGAGATACTGTATACTCCTAGTGACTACAGCTTTTTGTCAATGTAAATAAGTATTCCTTTATTTCTCAGGGTTCCATAACGTTGTTTTCATGTATTTCTTTCTGACTAGACATTTAGTAACACTTTAAATTCCTCAATCCAGTGCTTTCCAGCTCCACTTTCCATGTTGAGAGTGACCTGGAAATGATTCGCTATTTCTAGCTAACATTTGTTCCCTAGGAAACCAGAGGACTGGTTGTCAATAGCTCCTAAGAGCGTGAAAGGATGTAGTTTAACTGGTTCAAGCTGCCTAAGGGAGTAACTTGAGGATCTGCCAAATAAGCAGGCTTTCTGGTTAAAAAACCCTGGACCTAAATGATTGCTAATCTTTCTGTTTGGGCTTTAGGGGAAAATTTCCCTTGGGGCAAAGGGAATGAAAACTATTTTTGATGTATTTCTTGTCTTATATAATTTTTGGCTTCACTAAAAGTGTGTTTTTTGTTTTGTTTTAATTAACTAAATGGTTGGCAGTGAGTCTGTATGTTTTTTTTTAAGGTTTATAGTTAATATTAATCGCTATACATTTAAAAAGCATTACATTTTGTGCTGAAGTGATAGCTTATTGGTTAAGGGCACTTGTTGCTGCCAAGGAAGGGTTCTGTTCCCAGTATCCACATTGCAGCTCATAAATGCCTGTAATTCCAGTTCCAGGGGGTCTGACACCTCTTCTGGCCTCTGTAGGGGCACCAGACATCCATGTGGCACACATACATACATACATGCAAGCAAAACATCCATACACAGAAAATAAAAATAAATCAAATTACATTTTGACTGAGATTTACACTTAGTACTAATTTTAAAACTGTTGTTTCATGTTGGGGCGGTGGTGTACACCTTTAATCCAGTATTCACTCTCTGAGTTAGAGGCCATTCTGGTATACATGGCAAGCTCCAGAACAGCCAGGACTATGTAGAGAGATCCTGTTGCCAAACAAATGGGAGTGGGGTTGCTTGTTGGAGAAAGTTTGGAAAGTGTGAAAAGCAAAAGACAAAAACTTGTTGGTTGTGCCGCTGACACCTGTAATCCCATGAAGCTGGCTGATTTAACAGATGATCCATTTATTTTTTTCACAGGGGTCAGGAGAGTGCTGGCATTGTGACCAGTGATGGGAGTTCAGAGCCTACATACAAGGTGCATAAGGTAAGTTTGAGCATTAAAAACACTAATGATATTAGAAATAATGTTGCCAACTGGTCATTATTATCTGGCGTGGGGCCTAGGCACAGAGGCACATATCTTTAATGCCAAGACTCCCGGAATGCAGAAGCAGGTGGATCTCTGAGTTTGAGGCTAGTTTGTTCTACATAGTGAGTTTTAGGCCTGACTCAGTTACACAGTATGGCTCTTTTTTCTAAATAAATAAACTAGTAAGTAAATAAAATGTGGGGATATGAATAAAATTGCAACTAGAAGCATTTGGATCAGGCTGCTTCCAACTTTATGTCCTCATATTTGTCAAATTAGGATTTATTTCTTTCCCAGTGATCTTTTGCTAGACCAGCTCATTCAAGCAAGGGGGGGGTCATCTATTTAAATATTTTTAGGAGTATTTTTCTTAATGCTAATTTCAGTTAATATTTGACAGATTTCATTGCCTAGTAATAAAATCTTATTGTTAACTATCTGTCCTAATTAAGAGTTATTATAAGATAGAAGTGTCTCAATGCTGTGGCAATCCTAAACACTAAATTGCTTACTTAAAATGAATTCAGTGTGAAAATACAGGTCCGGTTTAAAAAGTAAATTCATTCAATTTCTGGCATACAGAAGAATGTGAAATACCTGTCTAGTTTGGATTACCCAAATTAGCACTGCCAGTGTTTTTTTTTTTTTTCCCCCTAACATCCACTTTTTCTTTGTCTTCTCAAGGGAATGGGTCTTGTAAATCATGTTTTTACTGAAGACAATTTGAAGAAATTGTATGTCTCAAATCTTGGGATTGGCCATACGAGATATGCCACGACAGGAAAGTGTGAGCTGGAGAATTGCCAGCCATTTGTTGTTGAAACTCTTCATGGGAAAATAGCTGTGGCACACAATGGTGAACTGGTAAACGCAGCTCGCCTAAGAAAAAAGGTAAGTTGTTTTTAACGGCTTATTGGGTGTTACAATAGTTAACACCCAACATTGAAGATCTAGACAAAGGGGATCTTCTAATTATTGCCACTTACCTCCGTTCAAGAAGCCATTGCATCAGAATTGCCTGGCATGCTTTCGCTAAATCCAGATTCTTGCACTTCCCAGGCACTGGAAGCAATGCCACTTTAGTGCTGTGGTTTGGAATGCTGATTTATGGTTGATATGAGCAGCATAAGAAGTTACTGTAAACATCTTCTTATAGCTTTGTCCTATGTTAAAGGTTTGTGATAGAGGAAAACCAAACAATTATTCCCTGTGTCCGAACTCAGCATAGCATATTGCTAAGACCAAACGTGGTGTTTTCTTAAACCAGCCAGTTGCTGGCCTATAGTTCCTGGTCCCCATATGTTAAAAGCTCATCCTCATGAGACTATCACTCAGTTCAGTTGTCTTTTCCAAGTCTAGGCCCTGAGCACGTAGGGTCTACAGGCTGTAAACAGAGTTCCCACATCCCTTCCTTGATTTCATTTGTAAAGGAATGGCTCGTGGAACTCAGGAAAATGCTTAATTTATGCATATTGAATTATTTTGAGAAAAGGATACAGAACAGGAGAACAGGTGAAGAGGCAGGGATAGCAGGATTTGTGGAAGAAGGCATGGGGCCTTGGTGCCTTCTGGAAACCACTCTCCGGGCACCTCAGTTTGTACTCAGTCAACCAGAAGCTCCATGGACCCAGTCCTTTTAGCTTTTGTGGCTTGGCTTTGGCATCAACCTGATCTTTGGCATCTGTTCCTTCCTTGGAGGTCTGGTCTAAGACTGAATGTGGCCCTCTAATCACGTCATTGGTTTCCATGGTAGCTACCCTCTATGCTGAAGTTGTCAAGGAGCATCTAACCGCCAGACATGTCATTATATCATTATTATACAAAATACATTTACTTTAGTGGTCAGGCAGTTTGGGATTGTGTGCCAGGAAAGATTAGGCTGAAATCCATGTACATTTGGCTTTTTGGCTTTCCATATCTCTCAAGTGTAGATAAAAGATATTTGGAGTAGAAAGTAGAAAATGTCTATTCTGAACATGTATTACTGTCCTCCTTGTTAGTCTCCAAATAACCTGCCAGTAGTTTGCATTGTGTTTGTTACTGTAAGAATAGAAAAAGGGTTTTAAGTGGCTTTTGTTTGTTTATGATCGCAGGGGTTGAACCCAAAATCATATGTGTGCTGGGCAAGTACTATGTCACTGAGCTTTGTCCTCAGCCCCACACCAGTGTTTTTAAGGGAGCTAAGCATCTGCAGAGTTTGGCTTTGCAAGCATCTGGAACTATTCTCTATGGGTATCAAGGGCAATGATGTGTTTCTTCTTCTTTTCTTGTGACCACATCTTATATAGCCCAGAACAGATGTAACTCTAGCTAACCTAGAACTCCTCTCCTGCCTCCATCTTCCAACTGCTGGGATTATGGGTTTTTCCCTAGCTGAACAATATCATGAAAATGCAAGAAGAAATTGGAGTATAGACAGAATGCTTAGGTTACAGGTCTTTCAGATTCTGTAGTGTTTGCACACTACGAGGTACAACCAAGTCAGCATGAAGCTTGCATTTCATGGTACAAATTAAACAAAGGTAATTGTGTACGAAAATGGTTTTGTTTAAGCTGAGGGTTTGTCTGCTCTATTCACATAGAAATCATGAAGACACAAAGTGCAGCACCCTTAGTGTTAACAGTTTGGAGCCTACAGTGTCATGGCCCTCTGCTGTCAGTGTTACCACTCAGCATCTAGTGTTACAACCCTGGGCTCAGGGTGTTAGGTAGCCAGAGCTAGTGACTTTTGGCCCCCTTCCAGCAGGTAGTCTTCCAGCTCTTCCCAGCTTTCGCTATCCACAGCTCTCTGCTGTCTCTCACTTCACAGTACTTTTCAGTCATTTTTGTTTTGTGTGTATGTGTTGGTCTGAGTGTGTGTTTTGTACCATGTACATACATGATGGTCCTGGAGACCAGAAGAGTTCATCCGATGCCTAGGTGCTGGAGTTTTGGGCCATCTCTCCAGCCCTTTCTCACAGTTCTTTATAATTCTCCAAAGTCTTTGCATAGCCTGTGATCCTGACCACCCCTTAAGCTCCTTAGCCTTCTTCTAGCTGTTACTGGTGTCCCTGGCATGAGGAACCCAAAGAACCGCTTGTTCTTTGCACAACCCACTCATCCTACTGGACCCATAATGAAAGGCCCCAAGTAGGCAGCAAAACTAATCAAATGAGCTAACTAATCAAATTCGTGGCTGTGCTGCATGATGGAGGCAGTGGACAGGAAGGAAGTGTCCCAGACAGATGTCCAGGGCCTGAGAGGAGCCTTGCTTCTGTATGAGGACTGGCTGACTTGGTTCAGAGAGGTTCTACCCTCATGGGGCTGAAGACAACTGTGAATAGGTTTGGAGGTTATCTGGATGGCTGGGGGTGTGGGCTGCAGGCTGGATTGTGTAAAGGTTATCTGAAGCTGTCATGGCCATAGTAACTTTTGAGGGTTCTTGACAATCTGGAGAGCCCCCACTGAACTGAGTCTCCCTGCAGTTGTCCTGACCCATGTATTTGGCAGCTTTCAGGATTTTCCCTGAATATGGTAAAAGCTGAAGTTGTGGCTGTCACCTTTCCCAGGAAACACCAGGCAGTGCATATCAGGTGACACAGCAGTGTTGCTCACAGACCTGCTGGGGGCCACCAAGATAACATTAGCGACTCTGTAGCCAGGTTCTGGCTTCTGTTTCTGCTATCCTCCGGCAAATACAGGGTAGCTCTTGGGTAACTGCTGCACTGGCCAGTCTCAGGAAGGGCCGGCAGCTGTCAGTCATGAGGCTGTGTGTCTGGTTCCTGATAGTTTTCCTTATCTAAAGAAATAGATAATTGGAAGTAATTACAATGAAGTTACTGTTCTTAGTGTGTAACAGGCAGGCAGGCAGACTCGGTGAGGGCTGGGAACTCATGACCTTGAAGTGGGGGGAGGGTTCCAGGTTTTGCTTTATTTTTTTTTTTTTTTAAGATTTATTTGTTTATTATGTATACAGCGTCTGCCTGCCTGTGTACCTACACGCCAGCAGAGTGCATCCTATCTCATTGTAGATGGTTGTGAGGCACCCTGTGGTTGCTGGGAGCTGGGAATTGAACTCAGGAGATCTGGAAGAGTAGCCAGTACTATTAACCTCTGAGCCATCTCTCCAGCCCCAAGAATTCAATTCTGAACAATATGTAGCTCATTGTTTCCAGACCTAGCCCCTTATCCAGGTATTAGACTTAACTTTTTATTAGTAGCTGTCCATTGAAAATGCTTTTTAGCATCCACCTAAATTATTCTGCACGTGTTTGTGGTGCAGCCTCTTGGTCACTCCTGTTCAGAACTCCATGATGATAAAGCCACCTAATCAATGCTTATTAACTATCTCCTACATTCTGTCATTTCAAATGTTGATTCCTGTCCTCTTGACAATGGTCAGAAGTACAGGTATTCATTTCTGCCACCGACACACTCCATTTGAGAGTTGTTGGTGCTATTTGCTGCTCTTCAGGAAGGAGTATGGCCGATTTATTGGGATTATCGAGAGTAGAAAAGGCCGCACACAGTTCAAGCCCTTTGCTTTTCTACTTACACTCAGACTTAAGTTTTGCTTGATATCTGTTAAAGCACTTCTTTTCTGCCAGCTTTAGAGGCTTCCCATTGCTCCCAGCAGTAGTCACCCATCCGTGAGTATACACATACAGTTACTGGGTTGTAACTTAATATCTGTAGAATACCTGGTTTCTATTAATTACTGTGTGCTGTTGGTCAAGAAGTGGAGCATCTAGTGGTCTAATGATGAAACTTTTCTATCCCATAGCTTCTGCGCCATGGCATTGGGCTTTCCACATCCTCCGATAGCGAAATGATTACCCAGTTACTTGCCTATACCCCTCCTCAGGAACGAGATGATACCCCGGACTGGGTAGCAAGGTAATTGTGTAACTAGGTTATGTCTGCAGCTTTACTTGTTTAGCGTGTTGATAGCCAGAGTGATTCATTCCGTTTCTCATAATTCCAGAATTAAGAACTTAATGAAGGAAGCGCCCACAGCATACTCCCTGCTTATAATGCACAGGGACGTCATTTATGCAGTGCGGGATCCATACGGAAATCGTCCTCTGTGCATCGGTCGTCTTATTCCAGTTTCTGATATAAATGACAAAGGTAATGAGCTCATGATGCTTTTCAAAATCATTGTTTCTCTTGGCGAGTCTTCTTCCCTTTTCTCCCCCTTTTCTTTTATGAGCTCCCAAATCTGTGGCTACAGGAAGCCTGTGCATAGGAAGAGGGGAGGAAGGAAAACACAGTATCTTTATTTCCTTTTTAAGTTGATGTATGTGGGTGTGTGCTCCTCTGCTGTTTGTGGAGGCAGGAAGCAGGTGTCTGACGACATCCCTTATCACTCTCGACCTGTTCCTGTGAACCAGGGTCTTTCCCTGAACCTGGAGATTGCTGGGAGTTACCTGTATGTGCAGGCTTACTATGTGGGTGCTGGGATTTGAACTCTGGTCCTCAGGATTTCACAGCAAGCACTTTAGCCCTAGCTAGCTGTTGGTGTTTGTGAAAATGTGTGTGGGGTGGGGGTGTGCTTGCCTATCCGTGTGTTGAGTAGAGCCCAGAGGTCTACTTCAATTATCGTCTCCTTTTGCTTTCTACTTCACTTTTTTGAGACAGGCTCTCCCTGAAACCGGAGCTCACCGTTTTCAGCTAGGGTGGCTGGCCAGTGAGGTCAGGTGGGGTTACTTACAGGTGACTACTGGCATGCTCGGCTGGGATCCAAACTCAGACCCTCATGTTTGCATAGCAAGCACTACTCACTGGGCCGTCTCGCTGTCTCCTAGTCTTGGATTTTAAAGTATATTTCTTTGGCTGTGTCTGACTTTTCAGTGCTTTTAATACTATATTCTTATTTTTCTCTGAATTGCCAGTTCATATCTTTTGCCTGCCTAACTTTCTTATTTCTGCAGTGGTTTTTTGTTTTGTTTTGTTTTTCTTTATGACCTATCATCTATCTAGTTCAAACCGATATATAATGCTAGAAGGAATCTTGGATTATTTATTGACTTATACCGGAACCACCTGCTTTTAATGAGATAATAATAGCAGCTTTTATTTATTTGATGTTTTAATTATTCTCATGAAATAGCCTCTTTCTAAAAATTCCTCTATATCTCTGCGTTTGAATGCACATGAATGACAGTGGCATACAGAGATCAGAGGATCTCAAATGTAGGAGTTTGTTCTCCTCTGCTACATGGCTCCCAGGGATGGAACTTTTGTGAGACTTGACAAAAATCACCATTGTCGAGTGAGCCATCTAACTGGCCTGAAAGCCTCCCTCTTTAAAATTTCCTTGTGGGTACCGAGGATGGAACTGATTAATACAGTGTTTGGGATGTGCAAGGCTCTTGATTTCTATCCCTGGGACTCCGTACAAAAACCAAACACAAAACAAAGAATTTCCTGAACCCATTCACTAAAATGATTGTCTTGTGGTTTATAGAGAAAAAATCTTCAGAAACTGAAGGCTGGGTCGTGTCTTCTGAATCTTGCAGCTTTTTATCTATTGGTGCAAGGTAAGTTGTATCTTGTTGTTTTATTTTTTTCTATATTTATGAGAAAATTTTTCTGCCAAATGTGATGATGCATGCCTGTAGTCCTAGCTTCCAGAAACCTGAAGCAGGTTGATTATAAGTGTAAGAGGAACCTGAGTTCTATATATTACACCTGACTCTCACCCAACCCCCCCCCCCAAAAAAAAACAAACAAACAAACAACAGAACAGGTGGTACAGGGGAAGAGGGAGAGGAAAGAAGGGAGCTTTTTCATTCAGGTGTGGTGATGGACACTAATAAGTCCAGAATTGGCAAATGGGGAGGTTGAAGAGGGAGCATCCAGGGGAAGAGGGAGAGGAAAGAAGGGAGCTTTTTCATTCAGGTGTGGTGATGGACACTAATAAGTCCAGAATTGGCAAATGGGGAGGTTAAAGAGGGAGCATCATTTGAACCTTGAATTCTGAAGTTCAGTACCAGCTTGAGCAAATGTGTATCCAAAAAAATAAGAGGTAAAGAAATGAGAGTGTATGGCTAGGTGGTAGCAGCGCACGCCTTTAATACCAGCACTGGGGAGGCAGAGGCAGGCAGATCTCTGTGAGTTCAAGCCCAGCCGGCTTTGAGCAAGTTCCAGGACAACCAAGGGTATACAGAGAACCCCGTTTTGAAACACCTGACCCCCCTTACCCTGCCCCCCCCAAAAAATGAGTTTGGGGCTTATCTTTTTGTTTGTATTTCATGACAGGGTTTCTCTGTGTAGCTTTGGAGCCTGTCCTGGAACTCACTCGAGACCAGGCTCGACTCAGACTCACAGAGATCCGCCTGCCTCTGCCTCCTGAGTGCTGGGATTAAAGCATGAGCCACCAAGGCCCAGCTGGGGATTATCCTTTTTAAAGGCAGGTGATATTTTTTTCTATTTCCATGACCAATGTCTTTGCTATATGAAGTCGTTTGCAAATAGTGTTTGTGCCAATTGTGGTGACTTTAATGTCCCAATACTACTTTCTCCTTCTGCAAATATTGTCTTTCAAAATACCCCAAGTCTACCTTGATTTTTCTTTTAGTGTGCGAATGTTTTTGATTCCAGGTCTCTTACTAATGCGAGCCTGTGGCAATTCTCCTTCGCCTCCTGAGTGCTGGGAATGCAGGTTGAGACACAATACAATGCCCAGCTCACCCAATTTAGTTTGGTTCTTTTATAATTACATGTATATTTAGGTGGGAAGAGACACATGGAGGTCAGGAGATAGCATGTAGGAGTCACTTCTCTTTAACCACCCTGTGGGTCCTAGAGATCGAGTCTTTAGGTTTAGCAGCAAGCACCTCTACCTACTGAGCCACCTCACTGGCCAAAGACTTACTTTACAAAGTAGGAACCTGGGCTGGGGAGAAGACTCAGTCGGAGAAATGCCTGCTTCTCGACTATGCAGACCTGAGTTTGGATCCCAACACCCAAGTGAAAGCAGGTTTCAGTATAATCCCAGGACCCGAGGAGCAGCCTGGGGAGTGGTTTCTTGTTTGTTTGTTTTACATTCTTTTATTTTGTGTTGTGAAGGTTGTGTGTATGTGTGTCACGGGGTACCTGTGTAGAGATCAGAGGTCAACTTATGAGAATCAGTTCTTTTCTTCTACCATGTGTGCTCCAGCAATCAAACTCAGGTCCTTACACTTGGAAGCAAGTGTTACAAGTGTTCTTAACCACCTGAACAATCCACCAGCTCTTTAAGTCATGCTATTAAGAATTAAGTAAACCAAGCATGGCGCAGCCCAGTTTTAATCCCAACCGTTGGGAGACAGAGGCAGGCAGATCTCTTTGAGTTCAATCAAGGCCAGCCTTGATTGAGTGAGTTCCAGGACAGTCAGGGCTGACAGAGAAACCCTGTCTTCAAAAAAACAAACAAGATAACAAAAACAAATAAAAAATAACAAAAGAATGAAAATCTCTTTACTCAAAAACACACAGTAACTTTCAGAGTGAAGTGCTAATATAGATTATAGTGTATACGCTGTCAAGATTTAACAGTCAGTGGGCACACGAATGAGAGATCGTCTATAATAAAAATGGTCTTATTTTTTTAAAAAATTGATAAAATGTAAGTTCCTGCTGCTCTTAAAATGCAAGAGTTATAGAGTCTTTGCTTCTGTCTTTTAAAAATTAGCATATACTCATTGTATAAAATGAAAGGCTCAGAGGTTAAGAGCACTGACTGCTCTTCCAGAGGTCCTGAGTTCAATTCCCAGCAACCACATGGTGACTCACAACCATCCATTATGAGATCTGATGCCTTCTTCTCGTGTGCAGATATACATGGAGGCAGAATGTTGTATACATAAATAAATAAATAAAATCTTTAAAAAAATGATAGGTTTCACAAATGTCTTTTGTTGTTTGTTCTAAGATATTCCCATGAAGTCAAGCCTGGAGAAATTGTAGAAATATCCAGACATGGTGTCAGAACACTTGATACAATTCCAAGGTCTGAAGGAGACCCAGTGGCTTTTTGTATCTTTGAATATGTTTATTTTGCAAGACCAGATAGTATATTTGAAGGTAAGTACATTTCTTTTCTTCAACTATTTCTATAAATCTCATTCATTTCATTGAAGTGAAACATGAGAGTTCTTGGCCCAAGGGCTTTTATAGCTCTTGGGAGGCATGCAGCTGTATGCTGTGAGCATGTCACTGAGCTACAAATCATAATTGCCCTTCTTTTCAACTCTTAGATACTGTTTCCACTTTCAAATACATATTGAGGTGAAATTTTATAAATACAATATAATTGAATCTCTGTTTTTCTACCTTACTGTTTCTGTATGTATTACTTTTCTTTTCTTTTTTTTTTTTTTCTTTTTTTTTTTTTTTCAGTCTATAAAATCCTATCACTGCTTGGTCCTGGATAGACTTAGTAAACTTCCTAGAGGAGGCCTTACCCTCTCCGTCGTGGGGGGTAAGGGAGGTGAGCACGAGAAGAGGAGGGATTAGACCCTGGATAGACTTAGTAAACTTCCTAGAGGAGGCCTTACCCTCTCCGTCGAGTGGGGGGTAAGGGAGGTGAGCACGAGGAAAGGAGGGATTAGAATGTAAAAAATAAATTAATAAAAGGGAAAAAATATCCTAGCACCAGCTGTTTAGAATAACAATATTGTTCTCTTCTGAACATTATAGACCAAATGGTTTACACCGTAAGGTACCGCTGTGGCCAGCAGCTGGCCATTGAAGCACCTGTGGAGGCGGACTTGGTTAGCACGGTTCCAGAGTCGGCTACGCCTGCTGCTCTTGGGTATGCAGCTAAGGTATTTACTTTTCATTATTCTCTGGTGTGTTGGTCTTCTGGCAGTGAAATAAATATGGACTATGAAGGGGAAATTCACTAGCTTACTTTAAGAAGGAAAGGTTGGGGTCTAATGTTGATTCCTGTGCAAGAATTATTAGCCATTTCTTTCAACAAAAAGTGTGCTGACAGATGACTTGGTGGGTAAAGGCTCTTGCTACCAAGACTGACCACATGAGTTTGATTCTTAGGACCCACACGGTGGAAGGAGAGAAGTGACTCAAGTGAATTGTCCCTTGACTTCCATACAAGCTCTGTGGCGAGCATATGCCCGTAAATGTATGTGCACACATAATAAGTAGATTTTCATCACCCACAGATTAGAATCCTGACCCTCATTTTTAATTTTTAGCAGCATACAAAGTAATGAGTTTCACTGTGCTGTTTTCATCATATGCTTGCAGTATTACCCTGTTCTCACTCATGCCGTGCCCACTGCCTTTCCTCTTTTTCTTTGCAGTCTCTGGCTTGCCCCCCAGTAGTTCTCATTCCCGTTTTGCATTCCGTTACCCTTTGTCTCTCCTGTCTCCTATGACTTCTTCCTCTCTGGTCCCCTGTTTCCATCACACATACACACACACACACCAATGCACACATTTGGCGGTGTGCCCATCTTTTTCTCAGCATTTTAAACTATTGTTGTAATGCCTTTGTGGGTTTCCACAGCGCTTCTTCCTTTCTTTGGGATGGAGCTGCTTTCTCTTATTCTGACTCCTCTTCATGGACTTACCCAGAGGGTCTGGCATCTTTCTTAAAGTCTGTAAAAGGAGATTTCTCTATAACCCAGAGGGTCTGGCATCTTTCTTAAAGTCTGTAAAAGGAGATTTCTCTGTCTATCTCAGTCGTACTGGGCCGATTTTCTCTCCACCCACTGGGTCCCCGCAGCAGCATAATGAAATAACCACTCTGGGACTTCATATTAGTTACATTTGTTTAGTCAATGGCTTCTTATTGGCTAGCTCTCTTAATTATTAACCCATTCCTATTAATCTGTGTATTTCCAAGTGGCCTGGCTTACCAATGATGCCTGGGCCTCTAGCTGCTACATAGTGTCTGTCCTTTGTCTTTTCTTTCCCCTGCCTCATTCTTTAGACTTCTTGCCTTGCTAAATCAGAACTGTCCAGTGGCCAAATCAGTTTTATTCATTAACCAATAAGAGAAACATATATTCACAGCATACAGAACGACATCCCCAGGAAAAGTCTGTTTCATTTTTTGAAAAGCTAGGAGCTGCTTATGGTTGCATAGGCCTGCAGTCCCAGTACTAGAGCTGTGAGTTGGAGGCCCGCCTGGGCAACATAGTGAAAAAAAAAAAGATGGCATCACAAATATTATACAGAATTTAGTGGTGTAGTTGAGCATCTTCACTTAGCTTCTAAATGAAGTAACATGTGTGTATTTATACAGATGGGTACCTTGAAGAATGGATGAATGCCCTGAGAGGCATCTTCTTAGCCCAGTATTGCTCTAACTGTACATTGATTTCTCCTCCACCAGTGTGGACTGCCCTATGTGGAGGTGCTGTGTAAAAACCGATATGTGGGAAGAACCTTTATTCAGCCAAACATGAGGTTAAGACAACTGGGAGTTGCAAAAAAATTTGGTGTGTTGTCTGACAACTTTAAAGGCAAAAGAATTGTTCTCATAGATGATTCAATTGTGAGAGGCAATACTATCTCACCCATCATAAAACTCCTCAAAGAATCCGGGGCAAAAGAGGTAAGTCATGTTAAAATATATGCTGTAGCATCATTAATTAACCATATGATGTTGTCATAAAAGTGAGATTTAACTTTGCATATCAGATTGTCTTGTGATAGCTAGGCAGCAATATGGAGAACTCATTTATACTATAGGAAGTTTAATCTTTAATAGATTAGAGAACTAAACATGCACGAAACATCTTTTTTTACAATTTTTAAAATTAAGAAAAAACAAAACAAAACCAAGAGAGTTTGTTGCTTTCTCTATTTGAAGATACAGAACAAATACCTAATACAATAAACTTAACACATTAGATCAGTTTTGTTTTACTTCATCATCTGTAAAACAGTGAACTTTTAAAAAAATTGCTAAGCAGGGCTGGAGAGATGGCTCAGAGGTTAAGAGCACTGACTGTTCTTCCAGAGGTCCTGAATTCAATTCCCAGCAACCACTGGTGGCTCACAACCATCTGTTATGAGATCTAGTGCCCTCTTCTGGTGTGCAGATATACACGGAAGCAGAATGTTGTATACATAATAAATAAATAAAATTTAAAAAAAATTGCTAAGCATGTATCTATTTGTGCTGTGTTAAATACTTGGATGCATGTTATATGTGTACCTTGTTTTCAGTACTTCACTCACTGTGTTGAACATTATGTATTGCAGTTTTTACAAGTTGAAAGTTATTAAAATTGTTTTTGAGTCATCATGAACTATGCCTTTTAAAATTGATGCCAAACTTCATCAAGAAGCTTGTTTGTTCCCACCATCTATTCCCCTATTCCCTTTTCTTTGGCCTCTCTACTTCCTAAAACATAGCATTGAAACTGGCCAGTAAATAAATTACAGTGGCTTTGAAGAGCTTGAGTGAAAGGCTGAAAAACTCCTCACTTTAGTTCAAACTTTAGACTGATTTAGCTTAATGAGGAAAGCATGCTGGGATAGACTGAGTGCCACAAGTCTTATGCTAATTGGTTCTAAACCAGCAAGGGAGAATTCATGAATATATTATAAACGATAAGAAGGAAAACTGCTGGTAGAGTGTGTTAGCGATCTGGATAGACGACCGCGTCAGCCACATTCAGTCATTCTCTCTTTGTTCTTTGAAACAGGGTTTCTCTGGGTAGTGCTCCCTGTCTTGGAACTTACTATGTAGACCTTTCAGTGCCTGGGGCCTACATAGTAGAGAGAGGAAGCTGATTTCCATAAGTTGTCCCCTGACCTCCACATGGGCACAATGGCACAGGTTTACATAAGTGAGCACACACATAAGTAAATAAATTAATTTAAAAGAGGTTTCAACATTTTAGATGCTATTAATTAAGGACATTTGTGAGGCTGGGTAAGTTGGTGCATACCTTTAATCCTAGTACTGATGGCAAATTCAGGTTGATCTCTTCCAGTTAAAGGCAGGCCTGGTCTACATATTGAGCTCCAGGTCAGCCAAGGCTACAGAGTAAGATACTGGCTTTAACACAAAACATTTGTTAGCTCCTCGTGATGGTGCATATCTCTAGTCCCAGCACGTTGGGGGTAGAGGTAGGAGGATCAAGACTTCAAGGCCAGCTGTGACTGCTGATAATCATATCTCAAAAGAACAACAACAAAAAAGCTCAGATAAACATTTTTCATAATATATTTTTAAGTTAATGTTATATACTATTCCTTTAGACTTCTGTGTCTTAGGGTTTCTATTGCTGTGATTAAAAAAAAAAAAAAAACCATGACCAAAAAGCAAGTTGGAGAGGAAAGGGTTTATTTGGCTTATCCCTCCATGTTCATCACTGAAGGAAGTTAGGACAGTAACTCAAACAGGACAGGAACCTGCTTTAGTTCAAACTTTAGACTGATTTAGCTTAATGAGGAAAGCATGCTGGAATAGACTGAGTGCCACAAGTCTTATGCTAATTGGTTCTAAACTAGCAAGGGAAAATTCATGAATATATTATAAACGATAAGAAGGAAAACTGCTGGTAAAGTGTGTTAGCGATCTGGATAGACGACCGCGTCAGCCACATTCAGTCATTCTCTCCTTGTTCTTTGAAACAGGGTTTCTCTGGGCAGTGCTCCCTGTCTTGGAACTTACTATGTAGACCTTTCAGTGCCTGGGGCCTACATAGTAGAGGAAGCTGATTTCCATAAGTTGTCCCCTGACCTCCACATGGGCACAATGGCACAGGTTTACATAAGTGAGCACACACATAAGTAAATAAATTAATTTAAAAGAGGTTTCAACATTTTAGATGCTATTAATTAAGGACATTTGTGAGGCTGGGTAAGTTGGTGCATACCTTTAATCCTAGTACTGATGGCAAATTCAGGTTGATCTCTTCCAGTTAAAGGCAGGCCTGGTCTACATATTGAGCTCCAGGTCAGCCAAGGCTACAGAGTAAGATACTGGCTTTAACACAAAACATTTGTTAGCTCCTCGTGATGGTGCATATCTCTAGTCCCAGCACGTTGGGGGTAGACGTAGGAGGATCAAGACTTCAAGGCCAGCTGTGGCTGCTGATAATCATATCTCAAAAGAACAACAACAAAAAAGCTCAAATAAACATTTTTCATAATATATTTTTAAGTTAATGTTATATACTGTTCCTTTAGACTTCTGTGTCTTAGGGTTTCTATTGCTGTGATAAAAAAAAAAAAACCCATGACCAAAAAGCAAGTTGGAGAGGAAAGAGTTTATTTGGCTTATCCCTCCATGTTCACTGAAGGAAGTTAGGACAGTAACTCAAACAGGACAGGAACCTAGAGGCACAAGCTGATACAGAGGCCCTGGAGGGGTGCTACTTTCTGGTTTGCTGAGAAAGTAGCTTTCTTGTAGAACCCAGGATACACTCCCTGGAACGGCATCACCTACAATGGGCTGGGTCCTCCCCCATCAATCACTAATTGAGAAAGTGCCTGTCTCCACCCAGAACTTTGCAGGCATTTTCTTAATTGAGATTCCCTCCTCTCAGATGACTCGAAGTTGACACAAAACTATTTAGCACAGTCTTGTTGTTACTGAACATTTAATAGATGAAAAATAATATAAGAATTGTACATTCTTTAAAAAAAGAACAGAATTTGTGTGAGACAGTTTATTGAAGCGTTTACACCATCTCCAAGGTGTGTGTTTATTTAGATTTCAAAATTTATTCTAACTTGAAACATTTCAGTCTTTTAAACTATAGAAGCAGGCAGAGCTCTACAGAGCTAGTTCCAGGACAGCTTGGGCAGTTATGCAGAAAAACCCTGGCTGGAAAAACCAAAAAAAAAAAAAAAAGTTGAGTGAATTTGAAAAGTGGGATAGAAAGAAATAAGAATGGCCTGTATTTAGAGCATTTTAAGAATTATTAGGGTTTTCCAGCTTTTTTATGATGGATTATGGTTCTGATGGTCTCACCACTGAGTTCGATAAAAATTATACAGAGGAATAAATATAAAAATATATATGTTGGGGTGATGAAACATGTCATGGCCATTTAAATCTGTGTGAAGATTGCATAAGGCAGGCAGATTGTTCTAAAATATCTAAGATTAAAAAGAAAATGTTGATACTGGTTATAACCTAGTGGGTTATGTCTTTAATATGGTAAAATAAAAAATAGCGAAGGGTCTGGAGAGATGGCTCAGAGGTTAAGAACACTGACTACTCTTCCAGAGGTCCTGAGTTCAATTCCCAGCAACCACATGATGGCTCACAACCATCTGTAATGAAATATGGTGCCCTCTTCTGGCATGGAGGCAGAATGTTGTAATCATAATAAATAAATCTTTAAAAAGAAAAGAGAGAGGGAGATCAGCAAAGTACCTTTTAGGTATTAAAACGAAATGGCTAGGAATGTACAGTAATTAAATAGGAAATAAAAGATGCAGAGAATGAAAATCCCTAATTAAGAAAAAATGTATGGGCTGGAGAGAGAGCTTGTGGAGATCTGATACCATCTTCTGACTTGAGCATGGAGCACACACATGATACTCAGACATACATGCAGGTAAAACTCTCACGCAATATAAAATGAAGAAATCTAAATGAAAAAATTTCCCTATTCAATGAAACAATGATATATGGTTTACCTTGTTGTTCATGTTGTTATCCGAATGTTCAGTAAGATAGTTGTATCAATGGGAAAAATATAATTAATTTTACTGTGAGTGTATGATGATTTCTTTCTAAGGTGCACATTCGAGTTGCTTCACCACCAATAAAATATCCTTGCTTCATGGGAATAAATATACCCACAAAAGAAGAGCTGATAGCCAATAAGCCAGAATTTGAACATCTTGCAGAATACCTCGGTAGGTGTTGAGATTTCTGTAGATTTTAATTGTTGGTTTGACTTTTAAATTTCAAGTGTACTGTTGTGTAAAGCAGCAAATAGTTGCAAGATAAATTTGAGTGCTGGGAGATGGCACAACATTATTGTTCTTGTAACACAAGTTTTGGGATCAGAGTTGAGTTCATAAGTGCTGTAATTCCAGAATTCAGCATGTTGAGACAGTATACCCAGAATAAGCTGACTGGCTGCACTATCGGAATCAGTGACTCTGAGACCCATAACCGTGGGCCTCTACAGACACGCGTACACACGTGTGCATGCACACATACACATTGGGAGAAAGACCATTCACAATAACACCAAAAGTTACAAGTCTTAGAAATAATTTAAACATAAAGATTTCAGTTCCTGCTTTGTATGGTGGAACATGCCTTTAATCCTGACCCCAGAGTCGGGGGCAGCCAGATCTCTCCGAGTTCAAGGTCAGCCTGATTTACAAAGGTAATTCCACACCAGCAAGGGCTACAGAGTGAGACTTTTTTTCTTAAAGCCTGTAATGTAACATAAAGGCTGCACCCACTCCAGGTACTTGTAATTGGGAGTTAAGTTCCCCAAAGGGACTGTGGCTTAGTCCAGGTTTCAGAAGCACCAGAGTACATTCACCTTCAAAAAGGAAATTGGAAAACTTGTTCACATCAACAAAATGAATTAATGCAAAACTTCAT